AAAATATTAAACAATGAGCATTTGCAAACTTCCAAAAAAAGGGAATTTTTATTATAAAAAAAAATTGTCGCATATCACAGTAAAGCTAATTTCATAAACAAATATATCCTCCTTCACACAGTGAATTATTAATGCTTTCTTGTATGAATTAAGTTTATAGTGGTTTATACTTTTATGAATCAATCAGACAAATCCAACACTAGTCCTATAGTACCGTGTTCACACGGACCTGGATTTAGTTTACTCACAATGGTGTAATTAAGTTTAATTATTATTGGTAATGTTTTAATGACACGATGAATCAACGTCTATGGTATATTTATGGTACCGTATTGTCACGGACCTGAATATAACTTATTATAAGGTTTAACTTCTCCTGAAAGTAATTCAGCTATCTAGATTTATTTAGACGTTTACTACTGATTTTTATAAGTTAAATCAAAGTCTAAACTATTCCTACAGTACCGTGTTCTCACGGACCTGGATTTAGTTTTTGATAACGGCTTTCAGTTAGCAAGAATGATTAATTATTATAGGGCACCGTGTTCTCACTGACCTGCAGAGGATTATTAAAAACTTTTTATTTATCTATTTATTTAAATATACTCCACCTATCCTTCAGGATTCTTTACACGGATCTTTGGTTTAAGCTATTATCAACAATTATGTGATTAAACTAGACTTAATTAACCTTCCGTGATCTCACGAACCTGTATTGGATGGTTTAATAATTATTTTACCGACGATTTACAATGATTGTCTGCTGATTAGAGGTTACCGTGTTTGCACGGACCTGTATGATCTAAGTTTGCCTCTATTCTGCGAGTACAATACTTAATTAATCATCCGCCGTTACACTAACCTCTCCAGAATCATTTAGTAAATAATATTTATCATACAAATCAATACTCAAGGTATTATTTAGTCAGCACGGGCCTACCCTGATTTCAGGCGATTTCAACTATCTAAAATTAGTCCTTGTCTGCTATGAACCTCTACTTTACAAACGTTTAATTGGTTATTATTCCTCTGATAATTAATATTCTATATGCCTAACTGGATTGATTTATTACGTAATCCCTATGGTACCGTGTTCTCACGGACCTGTATGATTTAAGGTCTGTTCCTAACTTTGAGCAAAACACTTAATTAATCATCCGTGCTTGCACGAACCTATAGAGATTAGTTTTAGTTGTTTATTTAACGTTAAATAAATAAATCTTGTTATTGTTTAGCAATTCCCTACGGTACCGTGTTCTCACGGACCTGTATAATTTTAAGTTTAGTTCACTATTTTAGCTTTTATCAAAATACTGTTTTAATCAACCGTGCTTGCACGGACCTGAATGATTGTAGTTTAGTTGGTTTATTTGTGACGTTAACTGAGTTATATGTAACTGTTTGACAAATCCCGAGGGTACCGTGTTCTCACGGACCTGAATAAGATTGTTTAAGGTAAAATAAAGTTTAATTTACTGTTAATATTTATTTAAATATTTTAAACAAGATTTAAATACCGAAATTAATTTAAAAGTTAAATGATTGAAATATTATAATTATTTTTGATTTCCACTATGACTTTCAACTGATTAATTTTTACAAGTCCTAATTAAGTAATTACCCAGAGTGAGAGTGAATTTCCAATGCGAGATGAGTGACCAGGAACTGCTCGAAAGACCAGGTCCCCGTGGTTTTGTTGGCCATGCGTACCATGGTGTGCATGCGCGCCGTTCCCACTCCTTAGTGGAGGGGACAGAGCAGTACTAAGTGAGACATCACGGAGCTCATGCAGCCGTCTTGACTGCTATTGACTATGGCCCTTGACCTCTGACTTGAGGACTGAATTGTCTTACTGATTGTAAAACTGGAAATTTGGCTACTATTACTTTGTTGAAAAAAATATATTTGCTCAATTGATGATTCAAATCCCCTTCACATTATGTTGATAAAAAAATACACACCTAAATTTTATTACCGTTACACCCTTGCTTCTCTTGCTTTAACAAAGAAAAAAAGGTACTTTCCTGTTAAAGGGAACATTCATTATTCTCGATAGTTTTTTTTCTCAATAGATCGATATTAACAAATTGAAACATATCAGCTGACAACTACGATAAATATTGTTCAGTATCGCAAACAATAATAAAATGATACTGTTCTAAAAAAATAACCTAACATAACTAACCAAACTTGCTGTAACTTTTAAAAATTCCGTGTTTAACTTGCCTTTTCTGTTATCAAACAGTTAGCTTAGAACAGTTTCATTTCTTAATCCATCATCTCTGATCTCCCTGTGTTGCAGACGGATCCTCTGGATTCTATGCCGGACTACTCCTCCGTCCATTCATTTACCTGCTGGAATAGGGTGAGTGTAAGAGAGATATCCCAAATGATTAAGAATTTCAAAGACTCCAAGAGCCAAGATGTCTATGGCCTTTCTACACATGTTCTCAGGGCTGTTGCAGATCTCGTGGCCGTTCCTCTCACGCACCTGGTCAACTTGTGCCTGGCTCATGGATCTTTTCCGGACTCTCTAAAGAAGGCCCGTACTGTGCCCATCTTCAAGAAAGAGAACCCTACACTGATGGAAAATTGTCGCCCCATTTCTATCCTCCCTATCTTTTCTAAGGTGATGGAGACTTTGATGAAGAGACAACTCCTCTCATACTTTGAAAATAATGGCCTACTGGTGGACTCACAGCATGGCTTTCGTAGTGGTCGATCTACCACCTCCGCACTCCTGAGCCTGGTCGACACCATATCCCAGGCCTTTGAGGAAAATTAATCGGTCCACCTCAGCCTTTGTGACCTCAGCAAGGCTTTCAATGTTGTGTCACATGACATCCTTCTGGTCAAGCTGAGAAAATATGGTATCGGTGGCGCAGTTTTCTGTTCTCTTGCGGACTACCTTGGCAACCGCAAACAAATAGTAACAATTATGGGTGCTTCTTCTACTATAGGCTCTCTTCCCCATGGAGTTCTGCAGGGATCGGTCCTGGGCCCTCTTCTTTTCACAATAATGATCAATGACCTTGCTACAACCAGCCATGCCCTCCTTTTTGCAGATAACAATACCTTGGTCACAAAGGGGAAGAACATCGACCCGCTGCTGGAGGAGGCAAACAGCACCCTGATGCTAGCCAAGGACTGGTTTATAGCCAACAAACTTAAGATCAACGAGGAGAAGACTCAGATCCTTTTATGTTCCTTGAAGATCGGTCTTGAAGAAGTTGGCACCACCATATTGAAAAGGTATGTGTAAAGCTCTCAAGAGTTCTCTACCTTTTAAGGAAGCTTAGGACCACCATTACGAGACCATATTTGCTAGCGGTGTATCATGCGCTGTTTCACAGTCACCTCACGTATGGCCTGGTTCTGTGGGGCCATTCTCCATGGACACAGGAATTACTTCTGCTACAGAAAAAGGCGCTGAGGGTAATAACATCTTCTGGCTACAAAGCGCACTGTCGTCCCATCTTCCTGGAGCTAGGTGTGTTGACTGTTTATAGCCAGTATGTCCTCAATGTCTTGATCCTGCTGAAGGTTAATATCCACCATTTTGTTGTGAGAGACAATATTCATAGTCACCATACCCGTCAAGCTTGTGACATTGATTTACCGAGATGCCGCCTAGCCCGCTCACTGAAGAGCTATCCTCGGTCTGCGATAAGGTTTTTTAATTCCTTGCCGGTGCATGTACGCGACCTGGACCTAGACGATTTTAAGATGGCCCTACGTGACAGGCTGGTTAATAGGCCTCTTTACAGCCTTGAAGAGCTAGGCAACGAGCCACTTTTTAGCCATTGCCACAGTGTAAATAGTGTGTAAATAGTTTTCTTAGTATTAAGTAAATATGACGCAGTCATACCGATATCATCGGTCAACGACATAGACTTCAAGTATTCAAGTAAGTATTCAAGTATTCAAGTAAGTATTCCATATAATAGACTGTTTTAGCCTAAACAAGATCAGTAGTTAGTTGTTGTCAATTTGTAATGGGTCGGAAAACAAAAATATCGATATATCGAAAAAATCATCGATAATAATGAATGTTCCCTTTAACAGGAAAGTACCTAAAAAAACTTCTGGGCACCTGGAGCAAACAAGATAAAATTCTTCTGTAATGGCAAAACAAAGCAATCTTTAATTAAGTACTCTATAAAGTAAAAATAAAATAACTTATAAATACAAAATCAAAATTTGATCAGTCTTCTTAGTTAAAGTTACTACTATTAAGTTTTTATAGTTTTTTTTTTTATTTTTCTATATTTTTCTTTCCTTTCTCTTTTTCCCTCTTTTTTTCCTAACCACTTAGATATCAAAAGAAGCATCAAACAAATTAAAGTGCTTCCACTCGAAGAACAATAATAATCTTTCCCTTTAAAATTAAAATATCAGTCTTCTTTAACAATAATAGGAACATAAATCAATGGATCTTTGTCCGTAGTCTTCTTCTTCTGTCCTATATCCTTTTAAGTACTTTATCGGTATTGGGGTGGGACCTTCCTGACATCAATTCGAACGAAGGTTCCGTCGGATAGGAAGAACCTCTTTCGCTTGGCGCGGTATCTTCTTCTAGGAGCTACTGTCTTTTCGGGCTCGGTAACCTGGTCCTGGTGATTTTGCGGGATTGCAAGTTCTTGAGTAGGAGGTATTACTTCTGGTATTAGGGCTGGAGATTTAAGGGATGTATGTACTTCGGCGGGTTGGTCCTTCTCTTGGTTTGGCATATCCACGCTCATATCAAGTACTTCTTCACCAAAAATGACCATGTCCTCACTGTCAGAACCAGCATGTAAAGTGGAGGACGTGGAGGTTCTAGAGCGGCACTCTTCAGCATCCAACATTTCGTAGTCTTCCATGTTTGAATCCAGCTCCAACGGTGCGGAAGATACTGATGTGGGTGTTCCCTGGAAGGTGATCGGTGACTGGAACCCTGAATATCCGTCATCAATGGCCTCATTCAGGGCTTCCAGTAGCAGGTCCCATGAAGACCAAAATTATCGTAACTGGCCTTTCACATAGCAATTCCCCGTGGAGTGTCGGAATGGTGCGTTGTGACTGGGCGTTAATGGGGGGTCAATAGTGCTTCCATCCTTACTTAGCAGTGGTTCCTCATCTCTAAATAGTTCCGATCTTCGCAGAGCGGATGCCATCCCTTTCCGCGATGCAACACCATCCAACGCTCCCAGATCCGTCACTGACGTCCCCGTTGCGATTTTCTCTGCGTACAAGCAGACGTATACTCCACAATCTACGCTGCCTGTGGGCTGTTGCATGCAGGGGGCCTTCTCCATAAGAGCCCATTCTGTGGCGCGGAAATTCCACCGGAACACCTGGGCCAGCCGCTCCAAGTAGCACAAAATATCCTGGAGGATGGATGGTCGAGCTCTTCCCAACGAGTCGAATGACTGCAAGAGTTTTCGTTTCGGCCATGCTACTATTAAAATCCAATGGTTTTCTTCAGAGATTTGGACAGGAAAGAATATTATATCTCGGTTAAATATATTTGTTCCCCGATGCCAGTTCTCAACCCTAGGGAACCCACCCTGTTTTTACGCGACATACAGGAAGGTGTCGAAAGCCCAAACCTTATATTGGTCGGGCAGGAGTAAACTTCTCCGTTCAATTAATCTTAGATAGTCTGCAATAGCCTGGTCGTCGACCATCTCGTTTCTTCCGAGAAGTGATTTGTAGGATAAATTGTTGAGGGTCATGGGTCCCCGAATTCCCCGAAGAAAAATTAGGTTTTTTGTTATTTACACATAAACTAAAAGAGATACGAAGTAAATGTAAATTAAAAAGTTGTTAGAACTAAAAAAAACCCTATAAAATAATGTGCCACTTGACATATGTTGCTATTTGAAAATATTGAGCTATGAGCATTTGCAAATTAAAAAAAGGGAATTTTTATTATAAAAAAAAATTTTCGCATATCAAAGTAAAGCTAATTTCATAACGAGTAAGAACATTAAACCGGAGAAGGGCTAAATGCATTGGTATTGGAAACACAGAGTATTGAAAATATATATTAAAAATAAACTGCCACCATTTTGAAACGCAAAAAGATAATTAATTTTTGTTTTCACAAAAATGTTTTTCTATTGAATACCTTTAAAAATTATTTATAACAAGACACATGTTTACATTTGAAAATTCCAAGATCCAAACTAGTGAACCTCAGTTTACATCCTGTATTGGAAAAATGTTCAAAATATTTTTACGTTATTCCTTGGGGTCGATTTAGCTTTAAATAATTTGATTTCATCCTTGTACGTTAAGCCGTTTTCCGTAATCAATTTGAGACACCTCTCGTGGGTCACTGTATATTGCCATTTGTACACATTTATATTTTTTCCTACAGTCATCCGACAAAGTTGGCTTTCTTTTACTGTTTATAGTACAGAAAGCTGCTAATTGCTGCATATTTATACTTTGTCGTACGATTCATACTTTGTCATACGGTTTATACTTTGGCGCACATCAGGATTCCAACGAAACAACACAAAACAGCGTGGTTCTATTATGCACGTAATCCGTGTACGCTTGGAAATAGGTTGGCAACACTTAAAGATAATAATACTATGATCAGCTGATTGACTATTATAACTACGATTTAACCTGTCATTTCGTGTTTATAGTTTCGGTATTTCTGAACTTTCTAGACTTTTCTTTTAAACGTTTTTAAAAAATTCCTACGATCTTAATAAACAAGAAAATACCTTTAAAGCATTTTTTAGGCGCGGAAACCGCTTCAAATTACAAAAACATACGGAACTATATTCTCAAGTCGCGGAGCACATTTCTTGCCGAGGAAAAATAGCGGAGTGATACGGACCGGGTACTACTTTCTCTAGGGCACATATTTGTGTTGCCAGCTGAACCTAAACACGTGTTGTATAGTGTTTAAAAGACTAATTACTTATATGCTTTTTAGTGACTGTAAGAAAAATATTATGTGTAACACGAGTGCAAAAGGCCTTTGCTGCACTCGAGATCATTACGCACTCGCCTGCGGCTCGTGCGTAAACATTGCTCTTGTGTGCAGCAAAGTGCCACTTTTCCCACTAGTTACACAAATAAGTATTGCCATTTTGGGATTGTGGAACGACGCAACTAATTATGGGATCGTAGGAAAACACACCCGTTCAGACGGCGCATCGTCGAAACTTCAAAATGTTCTTGGCTTTTCCTCAAGACTTTTAGTACAGTATTAGTATATAATGGTTTGTGATAAAAGACTTTACGTTTTTGACCAGTCTTAATAACCCCATTGCTTACTAATAATCATACACCACAAGTGCATCATATAATTATATAATCAATGCTTAATAGCATTCATATGAATTTTCATTTCTTATGTACTGTATTTAGTAATTTGCTACTGCACTATTGATGTTTATTACAAGCATATGTTACAATTCATATATTTACATTTAGTAATACTGCCATAGCTACTTGATAGTCTATATGACTAATGTAAAAAATATTAAAACTTAATTTTAACTTTTCAACGAAAATTCCACGACTTTAATCCACATCAGGGAGTATCGCATCCACAGTGCATACCTATAAATATCCACAATTCGTGACCTCTTAGGATTATAGGACGACGCCACCTGTCTCAGTCTTTTATCTCACTTTATCACTTTAGTCACTTTATCTTTTAAAACATCAATTTATTACCCTTCTATGCTTTTGTTCGCTAGCTAAAAAAATACTTTTGTGAAAGTATTCAAGCGTAGTGTAGTGTGAACTCATCTCTGAAATTTCGCAAGTAGTACACAATTTAATTGACTAAATAAAAAACATAAAAGTTAACAACTAATATTCTTGTAGAACTGAAATACTATAAAGCTCCAGTCACTGTCTATTTTCCTAATACTGAAAGCAATAAAGAATTTCACCACCTCAGTGTACATTGTCGGATTTAGGACGCCACAATTAAGACGCATGGCTAACGCTGCAAGTGACTCGCATCAATGCGAGTCACTTGCACACTCATTTAAAATAAATCAATTACGTCTGCAATTAACTAGTTGCAAAGTTTTACCAATTGTTTTCAGTAAAATATGCTGCATTTTATTTGCAAGTGTGTTTCAATTAGTAGAATTGATATTCTTCATGTGTTCCATCAGACTTATTTTAAAACCATACAATTCAAATATTCATTGCATTTAAACTTAGCAATATATTTCTGATAAAACGTCAAAATACTCCTACATGGTATTTGCTTAATACTTTAATACACTTTATTTTTAAATGCCGAGTATATTAATGTAGGTGTTTTAAGCCAAGTATGAATGTAAATGAGTGTAGGATGAGGGGCGTGATCTTGTAGTATTTTTAGTGACTAAGGGCGACATGTTCCTTTTATATATAACCTAATTATAAACAGCCCATACAACCAATGGTAACTACGGGACGTACAGCTTGTAGTGGAATCCAAACACAATATATGCCTTGTAGTTGACGATTGGTCTCATTATCAGGATAGTACTGCGGACAGTCGTAGTACTCACTTAAAGCGGACGTTAATCCATGTACGATCAGTGGATTCTAAAAATTGAATCGTTATCCCATTTTGCATTACATAGCTTAGTTGTATTTAAAAACACTAAAGATTTGGTTAAGTACATATAAGAGTTGAATAAATAACAAGTATAAATTTTCACTACCACTGCAAAAAAATTCCCTTTATCAAACGATTGATAAATCTATTTTATCAAACAAGTGAGTTTTTTAAAGTTGTTCGGTTTGGTCCAGTATTACTTCTATGTAAAAAAAAAGAAAAAAAACATATCACTTCAAAACTGCTTCAAGAAAGAAAATTTCTTAAAATTAGATATCTTGTAAATATTCGTAATTGTAAAATTATACCTACATTTTTTAACGTATTTAAAATATATCCATTGTAGCACATATGGCAAAAACTGTTGGATAAAAGGATGGGCGACTGAATTTTTAACAGAAGCATTTAAAACATGCAACAAACTAATAATATTTAAAACAGGTAAAAAATGTTTTCATTAGTGTTAATTGTATACAAACACTACGGCAACAATCTTCCATCCCATTTGATGCCTTATTAAAATGTATAAGACGAGGAAGGAATCAATGGAGAATGTGATATTGACTAGATATTAATGTTGTTAGAAGACATCCATCTTTTACTATCATACCATACAGGGTGAATAAAAAGTCAAGACCCCCCCCCTCTAATATTTTTCCAAGTAAATATACAGAGATATCCTTTTGGCGGTCAAGCAATCTTAGCAGGAAGTTTCATTTTATCATTTTGAAATTTTTGAGTGCCCCCCCCCCAAAAGGGGGGATTTGGGGGGCAACTCAAATATTTTAAATGTAAACCCCCTTCAAGTGACACCTCATTTTGAAGAGTTTACAAAAACTTAAAGAATGGTGAAAACTAGAGGTCGCTATCTCTTCTCTATCCAAAATGGTAGCCCGTCAAATGTTGTGGAAAATCAACGGTAAAATTGTTAATATTGGCTGCCATTTTGGATAGAGAAGAGATAGCGAGCTCTGGTTTTCACCATTCTTTAAGTTTTTATAAACACTTCAAAATGAGGTGTCCCTTGAAGGGGGTTTCTATTGAAACATTTTTAGTTGTCCCCCGAATCCCCCCTTTTGGGGACACTCAAAAATTTTGACGGGCTACCATTTTGGATAGAGAAGAGATAGAAACCTCTAGTTTTCACCATTCTTTAAGTTTTTGTAAACTCTTCAAAATGAGGTGTCACTTGAAGGGGGTTTACATTTAAAATATTTGAGTTGCCCCCCAAATTCCCCCTTTTGGGGGGACACTCAAAAATTTCAAAATGATAAAATGAAACTTCCTGCTAAGATTGGTCGACCACCTAAAGGATAAATCTGTATATTTACTTGAAAAAATATTAGAGGGGGGGTCTTGACTTTTTATTCACCCTGTATGTACCAACCAACTTCCAAACTAGCCATAATATTCTATATTTGGTTTATAATTTGATACGCGTTATAACCAGAGCCTTAACAATATAATTTTTGTAATGGGTAAATAATGTATGATGTGACTTGATCAATTTGTCCAATCATATAGAGTTTATACGATTGTTTTTTTTTTAGCGAATTTCCCTATAGGGAAGTAGCTATTACCGTAGGTGGCACGGTAAGACCTAGACCCGGGACCGATTTACTTTTTCATTTTGATGTCCCCAGAGGCCAAAAACACTATTCGTTCAAATTTATATATATATATATATATATATATATATTTATATAGACATATATAAATATATATATATATATATATACGTCCGTGAACGCGATAGCTTGGGTAATTTTTGTCCGATTTTGATGAAATTTGTTTTAAAGGTGTAAAGCGGGATAAACTTGAATACGTTCTCGAACCAGCACGATCGGATCATGGGGACGGGGCTTTACGGGGGGTTTTATGGGGTAAAAATTGGGTTTTCTCACTTTTGACCCTCAAAACACAAAATTTCTCTTTAGACCTTTTTAAAGAGCTTAAAAAAACAAACAATTTAGTATATAAAAGTATTTTTGTTCGATTATTAGTAACGGAGAAAATTTAAAAAATTGTAAATTTAAAATCCCATGTTATTCTTATGGAGAATATTGTCAAATGTTGTAGTTTGCTTGTTTATGAATATATTTTGATCAAGGCAAATTTATTTATTTTGTACTAAGCTATCAATATTTTACTCAAAAACACACTTTATTAGTTTCCTTATAGCAGCAAACCTAGGTACTCGTTAAACCTAATGCAGTAGAACCTCGGTTAACCGAGGTAATTGGGACCGAGGGTACCTCGGATACGGCGAACCTCGGATAACACGGAACGTAACCTAAAAATCGTTACCGGGGCTAAAAATAGCTCAAGATATACTAAAACATGAACAAAAGTTATTAACTGAACTGTTGTTTAGTTTATTAGTACAAGAAATGTTATTAGTACGCAATAAAACGTGAGAGGAAACGGTAACACTCACAATACTAAACACTGTTTTAATATAACACTCAATTTATTGCACAACTGAATACGTATGATATAGGCTACACAATGTACAGAAGTTTAGTTACAGTACAGTATTCCTGTTTACAAAATTAAATCAAAGAAATGAAAATTAATTTACTGTACATTGTACAAAAATAAACAAAGTAAGCTAATCTTTTTTCCCAAAGAAATCAGTTATTGTTTTTTGACTTAGATTAGAGGATCTTAGGCTAGCCGCCCTGTTGCGCCAGCGTCGCAGCCAAACTAAATCGTTTCCGTTTGTTGTTGCGGTTTCTTGTTGTTCAATGTATGCCAGTCACTGAGCTAAAATTATAACTGGAGGTAGCACTGCCATTGCAGAAGTCTGTCAAAAGCGTGTCACTGATTTTGTTAGGTTGGTATAGCAGCAGGTTTTTTCATCCAATAACATGGCTTCTATAACTAGGTTTGCATAGCAGTGAGTTTTTTCATCCAATAACATGGCTTCATTTTAACTCACACCTCACGCAAACATGGCGGCTGGCGACACGCATCTTTGACATTCAGTGCTACCTCCAGTTAGAATTATAGCTCAGTGATGCCAGTGCTCCCTCGATCATTCTTAGACCTTCTGTATGTGATATTTTCTCAGTCGCCCCATCAGATTCATCGCTGTAAAAAAACTTTTGTCGAATCGGGGTGGTGGGGAGAGCGAGTGGCTCAGTCGCGTCTCGGCATTGAAACAGTTCGCATTGGTCCGGCGGCGAGCGGTGTCGGGTTACAACACCTGCAGCTGCTCTGGCGAGCGGTGTCGGGTGACAGTGCCGTATGCATTCGGCAAAGATAAGCGCTAAGCTACGCAAATATTTGGCCGAGGAAACACAACAGTTGCCAACATTTTACTGTACAGTAGTTTTAACGCATTGCAGGCTAGCGTGCGTATTGCGATAAAAGGAGCACCCAAACGCTCATTACTGTACGTAGTTTGTGCGTGTTTCTTTTGCTTTTTAAATAAAAAAAATCGTTCGAGGACGGCCTCGGTTAACCCGGAGTCTCGGTTAAGCGAGGCTCGGTTAACCCGGAGTCTCGGTTAAGCGAGGCTCGGTTAACCGAGGTTCTACTGTGTTATTAAAATATATTTAACTGAAAATCAATTCAGACAAATGGA